AATATTTGCATTACAAGAGTATGGTTCTTGAATATTTTTGTTCTTGATCAAATTCAATATTTTTAGATTTGAATTAAATTTGAATATTTAAAAAATGTATATCTAACTGCTTTAATTTTTTGGCTTCTAATACAAAGATCTAAACATAGGCAAAATTGATAGTGACGTTTATAATTGTTAAGCAGGAAGTTGTGATCTCTTGAACAATATTTCTGATAAGTGCATTTTTGTAGTGTACAATGTTGGAACAAGAAACCACAAAATTGGTGAAACCTAGTTGAGAAATTTTGGAAGTGGAGAGTGAAAGAGGAGAATTGTATGCGCGCGCGCGCGTGTGTGTGTGAGAGAGAGAGAGAGAGGGAGAGAGAATTGAGGGTGAGAATGTAGTATTTCATTAGCTTGAGTGTGGGTTCAATATTCTAGCTTATTTTTAGGACACCTATTCAACAAATAGGAAATTGTAAATACAACTTCTCCCCATAGCTCTTTCGACAAGTTCTTCCCCTTCAACATGCTTCTCACCATATTCATTATCGATCGATTCTTCCTTTTGACTACATCATTCTGTTGTGGTGTATAGGGTATTACTACTTCACGTACAATCCATTCTTGATCATAAAACTTCCCAAAGTCATTTGAGACATATTCACCTCTACCATTCGTTTTGAGCACTTTGAGCTAGTGACCACTTTGCCTCTCAACCATGGACTTGAATTTCTTGAACACATCAAATACCTCATCCTTTCTCTTAATAAGACATGTCCATAGCTTTCTACTATGATCATTAAAACAAGTGACAAAATACCTATTACCACCAATGAAATCTACTTTTATAGGCACACATACATCCGAATACACCACCTCAAGGTGATTCTTGGTTCTTCAGTCTGCATCATTGCTGAGTTTTCCTCTATGTTGCTTTGCTTGCTCACATTCTTCACAAATTTCAGCTAGAATATTGATCATTGGAAGCCCCATTAGCATTCCGTTCTTTTGCAAGTCCTTGAGATCTCTAAAGTTGAGATACCCAAGACGGTAGTGCCACACCCACTCTAGATGACTTGCTGTAGTAGCAAGAAATCTATGCTCCATAACCTTCAACTTAACCTTGAAGGTTCTATTGGCAACCATAAGGGCTTTAAGGACCAAATCTCCCTTTGTATCTATAACTTGTAACACCCGAGGCCGAAGAGGACGGAGAATGGTTGCATGTAACACTTGAGGGCGATGGAGTGGTTATCAGTGTGTGATGCATGATAATGAGACACTCCTAGAAGCTTCTAGGGTAAAAATGAATTCACATCGGAATAAGAGGGGTCCTGAGGCTGTGCATGTATGTGATTGCATGGTTGAATGAAGGCTTATAAGGATTAATTGGTATTACCTATACCAATAAGATGCATCTTCTTTTCGGTAGCCCGTTCCATAAGAACTCCATAGTTAAGCGTGCTTGACCTGGAGCAAATTTGGGATGGGCGACCTTTTGGGAAGTTTCCTAGAAAATGTGCAAGTGAGGATAAAACATGCGGAAATGACCCGTGTTTGTTTGTGGGGTTAGTCGGTAATACTGAAAATAATCTGAAGTGTTACAAATAGTATCAGAGCCAGACCTCTCATAGTACGATGTGGTTCAGGGACGAACCAAGCGGAAGCTGGTGGGCATGTAACACTTGAGGCCGAAAAGGGCGGAGAGTGGTTATATGTAACACCCAAGGGCAAGAGAGTGGTTACCGGTGCACGAGACATGATAATGAGACACTTCAGCAGCTTCTAGGGTAAAATCAAATTCACATCATAATGAGAGGGATCTTGAGACTGTGCAGGTATGTGACTGCATGGTCGAATGAATGCTTATAAGGATTAATTGGTACTACGTGTACCAACAAAATGCATCTTCTTTTCGGTAGCTCGTTCCATAAGAACTCCATAGTTAAGCGTGCTTTACTTGGAGCAATTTTGGGATGAGTGACCTTTTGGGATGTTTCTTGGAAAGTGAGTGAGTGAGGACAAAGCATGCTGAAAAGACCCGTCTTGGTTTGTGGGGTTAGTCGATAATCTTGAAAGTAGTCTGGGTTGTTAAACAACATGCAACCCCTTGTTTTCCATATGAATCATGTAATCCTTCTCAAGTAATTAGCCAATACTTATAAGATTACATTTAATTCCTGGAATATGCAAGAAATCTTTGATCAAGGAATGTCCATCATCCATTCTCATGATCAAAACATCACCGATCCCATCAATTATTAGAGTGGTGTCATCTGCGAACTTTACTTTGTTCTTCATGGCATGATTGATTTTGACAAACCAATCCTTTCTTCCCATCATATCAGTTGAAAAACCCGAGTACAAATACCACTTCTTACTACATTGAACTCCTTTCACACTCATCATGGCGTCTTTATCTTCGTGCAACTGGTCAATCGTATCATTTAACCGATTGCAACCCAATTTGTCTGCATTCTTTGAGCTGCTGCAGCTGCTGTCCCGCGGGTGTTTGCTTCTACAATTAATTTCTGTTATCATGACCTAGAGTGAATTCTCTTTATTAAACTTTTGTCTTGCAACCTAGACTTCATCCCCTTGAGATTTCTTCTTGTTCGCATTGCAGTATTTTGCATAATGACCGCACCTTTGACACTTGTAGCACTGCTTCTTGCTATTGTCAAATCTTTTTTTTCACCTCTATAGTTTCCTTGACCACCATGTTTGTTGTAGCTGCTCTCACCCTTTTGACAAGTCAAAATATTTTGAATTTTGGGACTCTTTACCACCGAAAATTCTGAAAAATCCCCTTTGTTCTTTATGGGCCATTTTTCTTTCGATCTCTTGTCATTCTCATTCAACTTAGCTTGCAAAGTGATTTTTGCCTTTGCCTTATTATTATTCCTCTCCTTCGTCCTCTGCTCATGAGCCTCAAGAGAACTTTGCAGCTCCTCTTTGCTCATCGTCGCAAGGTTCTTCGACTCCTCAATTGGCACAACTATGTTGTTGAATCTTGGCATTAAAAAACACAAGATTTTAGCGACAAAATACTGCTCCGTAATGGAATCTCCACATTCCTTCACTTGGTTCACCTACCGAGTGATTCTCGTCGCAAAATCGTTGTTTGCCTCATTTTCTTCCATTTGACTCAATTCAAGCTGTCGTTTGTGAGTTTGTAATCTCACCACCTTCGCCTTGTCATACCCTACATAAGATTTCTCTAAGATCTCCCATGCTTGCTTCGACGAATCTCAATCACCAACTTTCTTGAAATTATCACCATCAACACATCGATGGATCAAGAACAATGCTTTGAAATCTTTCTTCATTTCTTCTTTATGTGATGCCTGCTGCACCTCTGTTACATTAGCTTCGAGAGGAGTAACATCATTCTTGATTACCTCAAGAACATCTTGATAGCCAAACAACACCTTCATTTGCTTGCACCATTTTTCGTAGTTCTTCGCATCAAGGATGGATATATTTCTAGGGGTTCTTTCATTAGAGACATAATTCATGTTGCACACAAGGTGTTTGTGAATTTGAAGCAGGCTCTTAATGCCAAATGTTGGAAAAACAACCACAAGATTGGTGAAACTTGGTTGAGAAAATTTGGAAGAGGAAAGTGAAAGAGGAGAATTGTGATAGAGAGAGAGATAATTGAGGGTGAGAATGCAATATTTCATTAGCTTGAGTGAGAGTGCACCCAAAACACTTATAGAGAGGTTACACAATGATTAGAATACATTTTAATTAAGCAAAATAATAGAAAAAACAAAAAACTCGGGCTCGTAACCAGTTGCGCCAAAGTGGGTAACCGATTACACCTTAAGATAATTAATTTCATATTTAGTTCACCTACGATGATAATTGGTTACACCAAAACTAATAACTGATTACGCCTTTAAAAAAATAAATTTCACAACTGAACTGCATATCAGCACTTGCAATTACCATACCTAACTTCAACATACAATAAAATTGTATACATCTTTAATGCTAAAAAAATTATATTTACATAGTAGAGTTTCTTTTAATCCAAAATCCATTCATTTGTAATATAAATTATATTGAGCACCATTCTTGTCATGATCTAAAACTCATGTTAATTTTGAAGCAAATGTCTAGAGTTTGTTCAGTCAATTTTTGAGTTCTTATCATTAAATTTTTTTTATGGTTGATAAATTATAGAGACAGGAAATTATCACATAAATAAGATAATAAAATATTCTACCTTACATATTACTATCACTACCTTACAATGCATATTTTATTTCAATCTAAATTGTCTTTATTACAATCTTTTATTGTTAATAAAATCTCTTTTTTTTTTCAACTCATTGAATTCTTTTTTTTCTTTTTATATAATTATTTAATATAATTTATTTATATTATCATCATTTATTTTACAATTAATTAATTTATTTAAAATTTTATATTTGTATTAAATACATTTTGTCAATATCAAATAAATTGAAAGAAAAAAAACGATTTAAAATTAACACATAAATATAAAAAAAAATTGATACTTGCTGCAAAAGTTTCACATAGAAAAACCAAACAAACAACGAAAAGTTAAAATAAAAAACAGATTAAAGTAAAGAAAGTGGACCATACGGATTGATCAGATTTTGTGGTTCACATGCACGAGCAAAAACTATTACAATTTGTAATCTTAACAAAAGCATAAAAACAAAACAAACGCCGTTAGAATCCAGATCATGGTAGTATATGCGGAACCCCGTTCACACACAAAACCTGTTAACCAGTCAAACATCACGTATGAAAGCACTCTCATGCATTCAATGCCACCGGCTGTACCATTTGGTCACCTACAATTGCCGGTCAACTATTCCCTTTCTTTTCTATTTCCATCTTTCTTTGTTCCTTTCACACACACACCTCTCTCTCTCTCTCTCTCTCAAACTGAAACTGTTACTATCATCTCAAAGAGTGTGTTGTTGTCTACAAATGAAGGATTTGGATTTGTGCATTTGAGATATTCATCTAGGTATATGGAGAAGAAAGAGATGGCTGTGAGTGTGAAGAGTGAAGAAGATGTTGTTGGATGTGTTGGTGGTGGTGGTGGTGGTTCTTCATCTTTGCTAAACGGCTTTCAGTTTTCAAGCGTGTTTGATTTCTATGAGGTAGAAAAAAGCTCTCCTCTAGGGTTTATGGAGTTACTGGGTGTGGAAAACTATAGTTCCTTGCTTGATGTACCGCAACTATCAACCATGTCTTCCATGAGTCATCATCAAACTACAGTTAAGTCTTCATGTGATACTAATGGAAAAGAGTGTTCTGAGGTTTTGAATCAACTTCCTCAAACTCCTAACTCTTGCTCGATTTCATCGGCATCTAGTGAAGCAGTTAATGATGAACAACATAATAAGACTCTTGTTGACCAAGTCCAAGAAGATGACGATGAAGAAGAAAAACAAAAAACCAGCAAACAGTATGTTCTTTTTTTTTTCTTTCTATTTTTGTTTTGATGATAAAGTGTGTGTTTTTTTATATATATATTTCACAAGCCAATTAGATAAACAAATGAATATGTTGGACTTTGGTTTTTGTTTTGGGATTGCTTAGTTAATTAGGAAGGTGATTTGATGGATTATGGGATCTGGTTATTTTTGGGGTTAGGTTGAAGACTAAGAAGACAAATCAAAAGAGACAGAGAGAACCAAGATTCGCGTTCATGACGAAAAGCGAGGTGGATCATCTGGAAGATGGGTACAGATGGAGAAAGTACGGTCAAAAAGCTGTGAAAAACAGCCCCTTTCCAAGGTACTAACAATTCTTTTTCATTCTTCAATATTTTCCCCATTCTTTTGGTACTTTAAGATTATGCTATGTGTTTGTGTTCAACATCTCCAAAATGCATGTTATGTTTGTGTTTTTGTTTATGTGTAGGAGCTATTATCGCTGCACCACTGCTTCATGTAATGTGAAGAAGCGTGTGGAGCGTTCTTATACTGATCCAACCATTGTCGTCACAACTTATGAAGGCCAACACATTCATCCAAGTCCGGCTACGTCCCGTTCCGCCTTTGCCGGAGTTCAGATACCACCGCCGAACGCTGTATCCGGTGGGTTTCCTACAAACTTTGGTTCAGTTTTGCAAGGGAACTACTTATCTCAGTACCATCAGCAACAGCAACAGCAACATCAACATCAACAGCTACTGGTTAATACATTGTCCTCTTTGAGTCACCCTTATAACAATCCTTTTACTCAAGAGAGGAAGCTTTGTAATCCAGGGACAAGTTCCTTTCTTAGGGACCATGGTCTTCTTCAAGATGTTGTTCCTTCACATATGTTGAAAGAAGAGTAAATATGATTCGATAAATAGCTTCATTATTACTTTCTATGTTAGCATTTCTTTCTTTTTTAGTATATTTTCTTGCTGACTTTTTCTGTAAGACTTAGGTAACAACTATGTAACTTTTCTTTCTGATATGACTGATAGGTGGTGAGGGTGATATATTACTATTAGTGATGAATGATAATCATCATCTTGTAAAGACCACTTTATCTTTATTGCATATAGCCCACATCATGATTATTATGTACTATATAATATAGATTTTAAGACTCATAATATTCAAGAAAAGATATTACTAATTGAATGTATTTGTAATCATATACTAGAGTGTTTAAAAACCCTAGAGGTTGGCCTGTTGGTGAAGAATTTGGTTATGAGAGAGTGCTTTGGTGAATTATTGGGTTCTGAGAGTGTGCTTCTTTCAAGGTTTCAGTCATATTCGAATCCTCTTAAGTGTTAGCAATTTCTACTTCCTCAGTCATGTCTTTGATTGTTGTTTTTCTGCTTCAATAATAATACTATGTTTAGTATATAACAGAAAGAAAAAAAAAGGAACAATGTTATGTCATTGGTGGGTTGGGCTGGGCTGCAAAACTGAGTTCTGTCATACTATCTATTTTTAATGATATGATTACGACTTTTCATTTGTCTTATATTTTTGTTTCTTTTTGACGAAGGAATGTGCATTGATTTCACTGATGTACAGTACATCATGCAGTGACGATTGTTAGGTTAAGGTTTATAAAACAGGAACAATTGGTGTACAAGTTTGCTAAATATGTTTTGTTCCTGTAAAACTAATTATAGTAAAATAATTTTTCTTTTCAATTTTGGCAGTGAAAATTTTATACCAACATGGAAGCAAGGTTATAAATAAGGAGAATAATTCAACCACTCTAATCCATTTAGAGGTAGATGAATAAATGCTTCTTTTCATGCTGCACGCTATGCAACTCCACTCCATTCATAAAAAAGAAGAAGAAAAACCCATACAAGCAATAAGGATATTTATCATATGATATAATAGATTATGATAACGACACATGTTAGCTTTCTTTATGAAGGAATAAAAACAACCCGTGTTTGTTTATAGTTTTTTGTTTTATTATAACATGTGTATGAGCTCTATCATTGTGAGAGAATATAATTTTGAGATTCAATTTTTGATGGTGGTTCACGGATAAGTATATGCCAACACATAGGTAGAGGTTGTTATATTATATACGACACGCTACCGTTAACAAGGATTGCTATGCTTGGCTTGGTCTCTTTCACTCTTTCATATATGTTTTTGTTTTGTTTCTCTTGTATGGTAAATGGAAGATACATTGTATCGAATTAATGTCATTCACTTGTTTAGTATAAAGCAGGGTACAATCAGTGAACAAGTTGTTTTGTTCTAATGCCAAAAGGGTGTTTTGAAATTGTCAATATTCTTCTATTCCTGTACTGTAGCCAGTGACAAATGAATGTTACAGACATGTTAAGAACATGCTAACTCAATTAACTATTAAGAAAGAAATTAATGTAACTTAGATGTAAAGAGAGGAAGTGGGCCCATTAGGATTTTGCATTACATTGTTTTACTCAATCTTGAAATACCATTCGGCTTATGAAAATATGTATGTGAAAAAGAGTCCGAATTATATGGAGAAATAGTTCTGTCTTGGATGATCAGCAGAAGATTCTTTAGGTTGTTTGGAAGAACTGCCTCTTGTAAAGAACTCCTTTCTCTTGGCACTAATAAGACACCTACTCATCATAATCTCTTGGATTATCAATCACGATGTTTTTAAGATAAAAGAGTTAATTTGAACGGTACGATATTCTACTACACGTAGCCATCACTCTATAATATATACACACCCTTAAATAAGGGTTATTTGATCACAAAAATATTTTTCAAACGAGGAGAAAATTTTCAAAATACAACTAATTTTTTGGATAGGATTTAAAAAAGTACTTGAAAAATCAAGTAATAGAAATAGAAAGAGGATGAGGCTCCAATAACTTGAGAGCATAGAGGAGGGAACACTGAAGGATAAATTTGAAAGCTTTGGCATTATTTGTGAAGTGATTAAATATCTTCATTTATATTAGTGTATGCGCGTCAAAAACATAAAAGGATAATTTTTATTAGTTTTGATTTTAATTTACTACTACGGAAAACATATACAACAATAGTTAGAAAAAGAATACCATTACGTGTGACCCACCGTTGTGAAGTAGCATATATTAAAGGTCACAAGTTCTTTTGGTATATATATTATTCTGGACAACGTTCATTCTACGACCACAATCATATTTTACGACCGTCGTTAAATTATCTGTTTTTTTAAAGAATATTTTTTTACTTTTTGAAAATTTTCCATCTTTTAACCTGTATTTTGGTGAACCCTGTCATAATAGAAACAACAATTGTATCATAACAATAATTGTATTGTATTACATCAAGTCCATATATTGGATTAAGAACCAAACATTATATATATATATATATATATATATATATATATATATATATATATATATATATATATATATATATATATATATATATATATATATATATATTACACTGATGTATAAGGAATATCAAAATTTTCATCACTATTAGGAATGTATTTTTCTCAGAGAACGATTGACCATTTTCTCGATGTGTCCGAAGAGTCAGTCACATAAAAAACTTGTTTTCCTTGTGAAGCCATGATGAATGGTTCGATCATATAATTTTCCGTGCCAAGGTCAACCCGAGTGAATCCTAAGTAATCAGTTTGTACACCATTAATATTATTAGAAACCCACTTGCAATTAGATAAAGGTACTTTGAAGATAACATAATCAATCTCTCAAATCTCCTCAATGACACCATAGAACGCACTAGATGTCAATATTGGATTCTTATCTTTCGAACTAGAGAAATACATGGATTCAACCTCAACCATAACCCCATTATTTTGCATTGTACTACAATCATCTTTTGATTTTGTATGAAAGGTATAATGACCAATGTCATATGCATTCCAAGTTATCACATTAAATTTTGGCATGTACGACAACCATTTAATTGTCTCGGATGCACTATGATAATTTGATATCCTTTTATTAAACCAATCTAGGAATTTCTTGTTATGCTCGATCAACAACAACTTGTCACTCATTCGTGGATATCTTTTCTTCAAAAGTCTTTTGTGACGAGTAGCCACGTAAGGTTGAACTTCTTCAAGATTACTCAATATATAGAAATGTGCCTGAATAACTACATCCCGAGCCATTGACTTAAAATTTAATCCTTGAATACCTCTACCTTCAGTATCAGCATGACAAGACTTTTGAATTCATATAAACTCTGCTTTCGACAAATAGTTTGTACAAAACTCAATAGTTTGTATATTCTTTAAAGATCTTCATGTGATGCTCTATTGGATACGTCCACCTTAAATAAATTGGACCACAAAATCTGATTTCTCTAACTAGATGAACAAGTAAGTGAACCATAATGTCAAAAAATAATAGAGGAAAATGTTAGATTTATCTAATATTTTATGGGCTACAATCAATTGTGGTTTAATTTGTAAAAAAAAAACGGCTTAATCGTGATTCTGATGGGGGTGCATATATAAGCCCTTTAATTGATTAAGTGATCAATTTTTAACTAATGGTTGAGTATCTGAAACCTGATTGGTGTGGGTAAAAGTGTGGGCTTTAACCTTGGGCCCATAATGGGTAGGGACTAAGGTTATATATATTATATGGCTAGGTCCCCTCTGTAATCACAAAAAGCATCAGAAACATAACTGACGGCTCCATAACTTGCCCCATTGAAAGTTGTGAACGGGAGTGTGGGAGTGTGAGATACAGAGGAAGATCCGGTCATTCATCCATTCAGAATTCTGAATCATGACTTCAACAAGTAAGTATTGATGTTTTAATCTCATATAATATCCATGAATATTTCCGCTTACATTTGGTATCAGAGCTTAAATTATATGAATTAGGACTCAATTTATTATTCTTAATATATAATTATGATTTAATATAATGGTTAGTCATTACGTGAAATTGTAAAGTCATTAACAATTATTGATCTCGTGTATTCTTATTGATCTCATATATATAAATCTAATGTTAAATTATTATAATTTTCTCTTCGGAAATTTTATTAAATAAATGTTAGTTTATATAAATTTGTAATATATTTGTTTTGTCAAGTATTTTGAAATATTATATAATATCTCTATAATATTGAGATTGATACTGTTGAAGACAAAATTTATTAGGAATGTTATATGGTTTAAATTCATGATTGGTTCATGATTTATTTTGGCAAGAATTTTTTTTTAATTCCTATGCAAGAAACTCTATAAATTATTGTGTGTGATTACCACCAAAGTGAGATCGCTCGTTTTAATTTATAAAAGTATCTTTGTAGTTTGAGGAATGGTTTTAAGTCATTACTGTGATTGTCTTCCTAAAGGTGGATAATTGTATGTAAAGATTGTGGTTGATTAAGGATATAACTATTGGAGATGCTTTGGTCTAAGGGATTTATTTACCCAAAGGAAATAAATTTCTAAACTCAATGTATGCTCATTGAGTAGCTTATTCTTGAAATTTGTAGATGAAGTTGTTGGAGGTGTTTTGGTTTAGAGAATTTATCTACCCAAAGGAGATAGATTTTCGAACCCAATGTATGCTCATTGAGCGACTCATCTGAGGTTCTGACCTTGGTTCTAACCTGGGTTTTACGCATTCCACCCAAAGGGGATTGTGTGATAATGTTGGCCTCTTAGTGATAGCTTATGTTCATTAAAGCTATATCTTGCCTTTATTATTTGTTCTAATGCATTCCTATTTTGTCTAATCAGTGACCTTCTCTATGAACAATTGTTCTGCTTCTATTGAGATCCTGAATGGGTCTAATTTTAAAAAATGGAAGAAAGACTTAGAGTTTTCGTTAGGGATTGCTGACCTTGACATGGCATTGCGTGAAACCAAACCTGTGATCA